AACCAACCTTGAAAGAAAAGATGGGTGTTTACTCCAGTGGGTTATGAGCCTCCAGGCAGGGTTTGGGAAAGTAGGTTTCTTTGGCCACATTCGGCGTGATGCAAAGAAGGCAGTGGGCACCCAAAACCAGGGCACGAGGGGCCTCAGGCCACTGCGTTTTGGAGGGAGGAACCCAGCTGTGCTGTGACCAGCAGAGTGAGCGTACAGGGGACGAGCGAGGCTAAGGGGAGGGGACAGGCGAGAGGTAGCAGCCTCTGACTATACGTTTCCTAGAAGCTGCAGAGGACAGATTGCCACTATCAAATGGGCGAGGGAAATTTCAGGGAATTAGGGAGGAAGGGTGTGTTTGAGAAAGGGCAACTATTTTGGCAAACATCCAATAAGCCTTCAAGATCTACTAGCAAATTCCATCCTGCAGGTTGGGGACCTCTATTATAAAACCTGGTTAAAGAAGGAACGAGGGGATGTGTGGACCAATCCCCCTTTCTCAGGCCCATGTGGCACACGCAAAGCAACGCTGCAGCTCAGAGGGGAATAAAATCTCCACTGGACGCCCTAGGCCTGTCCTCCTGTTATTGTTTTTCTCTCGTTTCTATTTTCTTTTTAAATCACCTTTGCCGGCATGCAGAAAGTTAATGGTGCTTCATGCACCTTAAATGCCCTTCCTCGGGTTTGCGGGAAGCCAGCACACGCCCACAGCCACGCCAGCCGCCTGCTTGCACTTTCCCTTCCTGGCAGCACTGTCCCTCGCCAGCCAGGGCTGCCCAGACGCTGGTTCCTCGGGGTGTGCCTGCGACAGATCTCTGGCAAGTCCACTTCTAAAGGCGGGAGGGAAAGATCGTCTTGCTGCTTGTGCTGCTTCTGGGACCTCGGCACCTTCTCCCAAGCAGCACCATCTGCCCAGAAGCCAAAGCAATAGAATGAAATAAACCTGCTGCTTTTCCAAGAGGGACTTGCTTTGGTTGGAGGGAATAGCATGAGCAAAGTGAGTATACAGAGAAAAAAAATTCAGGCCGGGACTCACTTCATTTCTCAGAGGGACAGGGGAAAAAAAAACAAAAAAAAAACTCAAGGAGCAAGTTTACTGTTCTCCTGGGTGCAGACTCATACCGAACACTTACTCTTGATGGCCTTGCACAACAAGCCTATGCTGAAACTCGAGCCCTAAAGTAAGCTCTCTCCTACCCAGGCACTCTCCCATTTGGAGTCGGAATCTGTCTTAATCCTTTCTCCTTTTCCAGGAGTTTTCAAACTTCCTGTCGACCATCCCTCCCCCTCCTTCCCCATCCACTCTGTCCTCCACACTGGAACCCAATGCCAGAGGGCAGGAGGGCAGGTCCAGCCGAAGACCGCATGCCTCTCCCCAGGACCAAGCAACAGGCAGAATCACACACTTCCTTCTTGGTGTGCTTTCTTCTCTCGGCTTCTAGGACTCTCCCCTACCCGGCCCTCTCCCTCACCACTTGCTCCTGCTCAGTCTCCTTCCAGGGTCTTCCTCTTCTCCCAGACTGAGAGAAGATGGGAAGACACAGTCCTCTGTTATCTGCACTCCCTCCCCTCCTAATCTCACCTGGCTTTAAATGTTGTCGCCATACTGATGACACTCAAATTTACACGGACTCCAGACGCACCCAGTGAACTGCCTACTCGCCAGCTTCACTCGCTGGCTTATCGCTGCAAACCTAGCATGTCCCCATGGGCGCCCCATTGCAGTGAGCGGCAAGTCCAGCCCTTCTAAGACCCAAATCTTGGAGTCATCCTCGACCCCCCACCTTTCCTCTAGTCTATCAGTGAATCATGATTTTTTTTAATTTCCACGTATTATGGGGGTACAAATGTTTAGGTTACATATATGGCCTTTGCCCCACCCAAGTCACAGCTTCAACTGTATCCATTAGGTTCATTGTAGCAACTATATCCATTAGGTATCCTAACTGCATACATTAGGTGTGAATATGCCCATCCCCTCCTACCTCCTCCCACCTGCCCGACCCCGGATGAATGTCACTATTATATGTGCACATAAGTGTTGTTTAGTTAATACCAATTTGATGGTGAGTACATGTGGTGCTTGTTTTTCCATTCTTGTAATACTTCACTTAGCAGAATGGGCTCCAGCTCTATCCAGGATAATACAAGAGGTGCTAGATTGCCATTGTTTTTTGTGGTTGAATGGAACTCCATGGTATACATATATCACATTTTATTAATCCACTCATGTATTGATGGGCACTTGGGTTGTTTCTACATCTTTGCAATTGTGAATTCATGTATTTTTAATTAGATCTGGAATTGGACCATTCTCACTCCCGGGGTTGTATGATGAGCCCCAAGTGACTATTCATACTTAAATTAAAATTAATTAAAATTTAAACAAAATTAAAAAGAGGAAAAAAAAAAAAAAAAGGAATGGCCCAAGTGAGAACTCTTAGGAAAACAAGTGTAAAACTTAAATTTAAAAATTCGCTTCTTAACTCACACTGGCCGTTGTTTCAAGTGCTTAACAGCCAGTGGCCGGTGTAGACACAGAGCACTTCCATCCACGTGGGATGTCCATTATTAAGTTCACTGCCAGTACCTGGTCCAAGCCACTAACAAACATCTCTCACATGCAACAGCCTTTTAGTAGTTATGGCTTCTTCTGTCTTCACAAGAAGGCAGTGGGAGGGACCCCTTTAAAACACTGAATGTCATGCCACCCCTTAGCTCTAAGTTGTCTACAGTCTCTGTGCACGTCCCTCACGGGGGAAGTCAGCCCTCGGAAAGGCACACAAAGTCCCACAAGCTCTGGCCCCTTCTGCTCTTCTGACCCCATCTTATAAGTCTTCCAACTCGCTCTCTCTGCAGTGGCACGGCCTCCTACCCCCTGCTGCTACTGGACTCTGTGCAAGCTCTGACTCAGGGCCTCCACACTGGCTGTTCCCTCTGCCAGGAACACCCTTCCCCACACATCCTCCTGGCTTGCTCCCTCCTCTCCTGCACTAGCTCTTTGCTCAAAAGTCACCTCCCCAGTGAGGCTGCTGCATTTCAATTGTAACCTCCCCCAACCCAGCACTCCCACCCTCCCTTGCTCTGCTCTGTTTTTTCCATATTACTTACCTCTTTGGAACAAATTAAATATAATACATTTATTAGGTTGTTTTATATATTGTTCACTCTCAGGCGGGGCTCTCTGTCCATTTACTCACCACTAGCAAACTGCCCATAGGATGTTTTCAACAATATTGAGCAATATTTGTTCAATAACAAATGGGGAGAGTTTGAGAGCTGGAAGGGCCTGGAAATCTCGCTCTTGGATGGGCGGCTGAGGGTTGGTGAGGTGACGTAATTCACTGGGGACCCATGTGAGTTTAAGGGAAGAGCCTGGACTAGGAGCTGGCCTGGTCTAGGTGTCTTCCCTGGGCGAGCCCTGTGACAATGAACTCCCCTTCCCCTGTCACAACCGGAGGGACATGGACAAACCACAGAGAGGCAAAGGGGAAATGGAGAAAACATCCCACTAAAATATCAGGGGTATTCACCACTTTCTTCCTGTAAGCCTTTGCATGATTCAGACGTTGGTCCTGCTTCTCTGATGATTTGTAAGAAGCAAGGAACAAAGTGGTGGGTTCAGACTAATGGGCTCTTCTTAGAGGCCAGTCTTATCCCCCACACCTCATGTTGCGAATGCCAAGATTATCTGAAAATTGGAAACACAACTGGAAACACGCAGGGTTGCTAGATTATGTTTTTCCTTAAGGCACCATATCAGCCTTACTTTGAAAAAGAAAATCATAGTTTCATCACGTGATTTCTAGGTTAGTATTTTAGAAAAAGTTGATTAGTAGGAAGAGAATGAGTCTCCATCGAATCATTACAATATCTCTGACAATCCAGAATGGATTAGAAGAGAAAAGCAGACCCCAGATCACATTTTGCATTAGGGATTCACCTGTCCTCTTGTATCTGTAAGGAAGTGCCATCTGAATAAACACATTTTTCAATGCCTAGGGATGATGATTTTGCCACTGCCTATTCTGACTCAAAGAAGAAGATAGTGAGGAAGCTTTGACCTCACAGATAGACCTGTTCCACAACAGGCCCCAGCTACACAGCATGGTGTTGGCAGAGAATGCGGAAGTCTAAGACCAGCCGTGGCTCACTGGCTGATTTAAGTTGCCAATGTACGTAATTAAGAACAAAGTTATTTTTATAGTCATTCCTTCATTATTGACATAACTCAATTGCAGGCTGTTTTAGAGATGCCAGATTTGGGAATAGAATCCTTACAGACTGCACTGCAATGTCACGGAGACTATAGCAGGAAAAAAACTGATGCGCACAGACGATCTGTAGGTACCAGAAAATTAGATCTCGGGAGAGACACGGAGCAAAAAACGTAGCATCAAGGAAATTAGGGGCGGGGCACCGCGAAAGGCACACGCAGGGGCGCCCCAGAGGGAGGGGCGCCCCAGAGGGAGGGGCGCCCCAGAGGGAGGGACGTCCCAGGGAGGGGCGTCCCAGAGGGAGGGGCGCCCCAGAGGGAGGGGCGCCCCAGAGGGGAGGGGTGCCCCAGAAGGAGTGGCGCCCTAGAGGGCAGGGGAGCCCCAGAGGGGAGGGGCGCCCCAGAGGGAGGGGCGCCCCAGAGGGGAGGGGCGTCCCAGAGGGGAGGGGCGTCCCAGAGGGGAGGGGTGCCCCAGAGGGAGGGGCGCCCCAGAGGGGAGGGGCGCCCCAGAGGGAGGGGCGTCCCAGAGGGGAGGGGCGCCCCAGAGGGAGGGGCGTCCCAGAGGGAGGGGCGCCCCAGAGGGGAGGGGCGTCCCAGAGGGGAGGGGCGTCCCAGAGGGGAGGGGCGCCCCAGAGGGGAGGGGCGTCCCAGAGGGAGGGGCGCCCCAGAGGGGAGGGGCGCCCCAGAGGGGAGGGGCATCCCAGAGGGGAGGGGCGCCCCAGAGGGAGGGGCGTCCCAGAGGGAGGGGCGCCCCAGAGGGAGGGGCCCCGCGTGTCGGCATGCTCCGGTGCATTACCTGGGGCGGCGCTCTTCAGTGCTTTCACTAACTGTCCCCGTCCAGCTCCAAAGCCATTATCTCCACAGTCCAGGTCACTGTCACTATCACTGCCACCGCTGGCAGAGTACGTACACATTCTGGGTACCTTGTCCTAGATGAGCAACATGAGACTGTTAAGATGAGTCGTACAAACCGAACGCGCAGAGCATCCTGAGAGGACGTGACCAGGTCACCCTTGGCTGTCTCTGTGAGCACGGACTCCCGTTCCCACCGCCCCGCCCGGCCCGGCCTAGAACAACTCTGCTTTGCGGGTTGCTCTGCCTCCTGGGGCCGATGCGGTCTACTCCGTGACTAGGGCCGCGGAACGGGCTTGCAATGATGAAGGTGTCGCTGGCAACTGGCCGTTGTCCCCGGCCCAGGAAGGTCTCCACGGTTACCTGCTCTGCATTCTGTACACGTCTTGATAGGGTCTCGCTTTTCTCAAGTGCCTATTATGAGCTGCTGTTCCAAGTCTAATGGCTTATTTATTTAACCGATCTCATCATTGGCTTTCAAGTATCAGAGGGTATTAAAACAGTCAACCTTGGGAACAAATGGATACATGTTTGCCTAATTTATAATTTTTTTCTAGCCCCCCAAAGGACACTGGCCTTTAGGAAAGTAAGCAGTTGCTGACCCTATGCTGTCGTCTAATCTAGCCAGCGAATGGGGTGAGGGACCCAGTGCCCCTCTTGCTCGTATGAACACACACAGCCTGACCCTCCCCCATTGGCACTAACGCTGTGCCCAGGCCTTACTGAGTCGGCTGACTGTGTACGAAGAGTTCTTCTTTCTGTGCACACAAGCAGAACTCTGGGTCCAGGACTGTGACTCCTACATGTTGAACTGAGGGTATCTAGGACCCTCCTTTCTGTTTGTAGACAGCTCTGCTAGTTTATTATTCCCCACCTCTCCCCGACAGTTCAGGTACAGATGCTGGGTCTCTAAAGTTTTTGGGGGAGGGTGTTATTTGATTGGGAATTGTCAAAACACATCTTAGGATATAAGCTCCGTTGGCTGGGCTATGAATTTAAGCGGTCACTCATTTCCTTTATTCCTTCATTCATTTAGCCACTCACCCACCCATCCAGTGGGTGCTTGTTGATACCTACTCTGTGCCAGGCAGTGTGCTATGTTTCAGGGGTGGAGAGTACAGTACTGGAGATGCCAGTGGTCTAGCAAGGATGAAGTCCATGAAGGAGGACAAGGCTACTGACTGTGGTTCCAGGGGACCCTGTGTCCAGAGTTCCAAAGGGGCTCCAGTAACACTTTCTGGGCATGAGGGGACACATTCTTTCATACCTCCTTTCAACAGACACCGATTGAACCAGGCACTGTGCTGAGTTTGGGAAATATAAAGCTAATTCTTACTTCAAACTTTCTTGACCTGGCAGTCAAAGAAGCAGGGTTCTAAGTTCCAACCCTACAGTGGTGACTCTTACAAGTCAGGGCAGGATTTCCAGTGGGCAGAGCTGGTGCAGGATGACAAGGGGACCCTAGAGAGGAGCATATCTTGGTGGACGTGTCTGTTGTGTGAGGAGCATCCAGCCCTTGCATGTAGAGGGGACAGGTCTCCCCCTGGGTCAACACACAGTAACTATTTTTTTACTTTTTTTGAAATTGATCAGCCCCCAGGTGACTCTGGTGCCTGCTTGAGTGTGGGCCCCACTGACTTGGAGCAGCCCAACAGTGCTGTGTTTAACTTGAGGCATGACAGAAGACCATGCTTTTCCCTTCTGCCTCTCAGCCCTGCGTCCGAGCAGCGTTCTGAGCGTGGGATGTGCATTCAGAGGGCCCAGTCCAGCCTCAGCTCCACAGCTACTTTCCCTCGGCCCCTGAATGTGGCCTGCAGGTCTCTGGGTCGCTGTTCTCTGCTGCAAATGGAGGCCGTGGGCCCAGAGGTCTCCCCTTTACCTGCCCACAGTCTCATTTCCACATGGAGGTGCTCAAGGCCAAAAGAAGACCTGGCCACGCTGGGTGTGGGGGACCTCAGATGTGGACAAATGCGGGTATTTCTACATCATAGTGGGGCAGAAACTCTGGTAAAAATAGCAAGGGGACTCTTGGCGCTGGAATTGGGAGAGCCAAAGGTAGCAGAAGCAGGAAGGGTCAGGAAGCTCCGGGAAGAGAGCCACAGGCCCTTCCACCCTCCCTGCTGCCAGGCACCACCACAGGCCCGGCAGTGGCCGGCCCTAGCGTGAGGGGAGAAGGAGCGAACAGGCTGACTATGGTCAAAGGCACCAGCTGGAAGAGGTAAACAGGAGGGAACACCAAGTAACCCCCAAGGGAGGAATGAAGAATCTCTGAGCTTCTCCCTGCAGGAACCTGTCGGGAGGCCGTGTGGGCCATCTCAGGGTAGGTGAAGAGCCCACGGCAACAACGATGGGGACTGATGAAAAACTCAGGTCTTACTGACCCTGGCAAGTCATTTGGCCATGCCAAGCCTCAGATTATTCATCCCTGAAAGGAAGAGAATTACACCCACTTTTGCTGTTGCGTGCGAGCAAGATAAAAGGTTAAAGTAACTGCTGAGATAATAAAATAAATGGAAAAGCAAATTATTCTAACTGGTGCCTTATGGCTTGGGAGAGTGAATGTCTAACCAGGGGAGAGCACCCATACCCTAAGAATTTGGGTGCAGATCAGGAGCATTTTGAATTCTTTAGAATAAAGATGTCCCAAGAACCTATGGTGTTCCTTAATAATTCAGGGAAAAGGATGAGCCTTATACCTTAGTTTGTATTCAATAAACCAACAGAACACTTCATTTAAAATTAAAATCTATCACAAAGGCGGTTAAGGAGGTCACTTTTCACAATCAGGACCGACAGGTGGATGGCATCCTTCCCTCGGCCTCCCCCTCACCTGGGTCTCAGTGGCAGCGTCTTCACCCCCCCAGTCTGTAAGGGGCTCGCTTGCCATGGGATCTTCAGCATATTCGAATGACGTGCAAGTCTGAGGCCTTGGCTCTGCTTCGTTCTGCTTTTGGGAACTGATTTTTCCTAAATGAGGAAAATGTACATGGAATCACAAATCAGCTTTCATCAACGTTTCACAAGTGTAGGGAGGGAGGTGGAGGAGACATTCAAAAATATAAAGGTCCAAACACAGTGACAGCACGGCTTCCTGGCATTCTGTCTCCTGCACATCTATGCTACCCCGAACATCTGCATGACTGTATATGCTACCTAGAGCGGATGCCCACCTTGAAGACCGAAAGGCAAACTGTTCTTGGACTCCTTTCCACAAAATGTTGAGAGACTCTTCAGGTTCAAAACAGTTCAGTGGGCAAACCATATGGGAAACACTTGGATTATTCCTCAAATAATGTTATTCATCCGATAACAAACAAGTTTCTTTTCTGGACGACTTTTCAGAGCCTTCAGTGTGCTAATGGGCACTGTCATAGTTTCCAAAAACAGCATGCAAATTTGCAGCATTTCCCAAACATACTTGGGCAGGGAACCCCTTTTCTCCTAGAATATTATTAAGGTCATTTTGAATAATGTGGTTTAGGAAACTTTGCTTGGAGGCCCTTAAAGATCTTGCAGGGAAGTACTTGTCAAGCATTAACGTGCAGATGTATTAGCTGAGCTTCTGTTAAACTGTAGATGCTGATTCAGTAGGTGCGGGGTGAGCTCTGAGAGTCTGCAGTTCTGACAAGCTCCCAGGTGATGCCAATGCTGCTGGCCCATGGACCACACTTTGAGTAGCAAGGGTATAATTAGCAGAGAACAATTAAAGAAAGTTTCCTTATTACCAGTAATAGGAGATTAACCTGCAGAGTGTATTCCTTCATCATGCCAGAAAGGAGAATTGCTGTCATTATCTTCCAACCTCAATGATTATCAACAGGACATGCTGTGACAGCCTTTCCACAGCATTTTGCTTGTGAGGGGAAGCAAAGTAATTATGTTTTCATCAGCACTGTGAAATTTGTAGAGTTACTTCCATTTTCGATATGGGGATAAGAGAAAAACCAATTCAAATGTACACATTAAATAGGAAGTGACTGCCCTAGAGTAGGCATAACTCCATTTTCCCTTTGTTCCCCATTCCCTAATTTTTAACGTGAATAAAAAATGGCTACAGAGAAGAGAAGCACTGGAAAGCAGGCCCTGCCTGGACCACAGATATCATCTGGTGGACAGGAAACTTCAGGATGGGCAACAGAAAAATTCCTTGTGGTGTGTTCACCTTACTGTCTACCATACATTACCTTTTTACAACTCTTCATCATAATTTAATTTAGACACAACCCTAAAAACCCAGTGTGGTGAATATTAGCAGCAAGATCAGAACAATCTCCCTCCTACCCCTTCCTTATGAAGCAATTCAAGGCTTGTGGTTTCTATTCAATTTGTTATAATGACAGTGTTTAATCATGGAGTCTACGGCAGCCTGCCACTGAATTGAGGTCACACATGTGACCATTCAGGCATGGAGCACATAATCTATAACTAAGATTTCGCCCCTGAATGTCTGGAGGCTATGTCATTAATTAACACTACATTTATTTCAAAAATAATATACATTATAGCCTTTCAAAATGTAGCTTTGGCTTGGAATGAGAAGTTTGTGATGAAACGCTCGTGGCAGTTGGAATTACTGTATGAAGGAAGAATGTAGCCATGGGAATAGCCCAATCACATTTATCCAAAGATGTTTAATTAAAAGACTCCTTTTCTAATTTCTCAGAAGCCTATTGTATAATCTCCACTTACTTTCTAATCATCAAATCATAAATGAAAGTGTTCCATTTAGAGTTCTGGTTCATATGCTTATGTGTGTCATAAAAGCAACATAAGCCGTACAAGTTAAAAATTATTTAGTGTCATCCTTGGCTGCAATAAATATTTTTAATCTTGAGGGAACAATGAAAAAACTTTGACCCTTAGCCTAGGCCTGTCTTTAATCATGACAGCTTGTTTCGATTGACTGCGAGGAAGGGTGGGACTTCCCAATGGGAAAGCTCCCTCCTTTCTACCGCAGTGAATGCACAATCTACCGCTGATATATCAAACTCAGTTTTTATAGTTCGACATATAAATATATTTGAACAGGACAGGAATACATCAGAAGACCTATGTTTCTGGTTAGAGGGCAAACGATATTTTAACTAAATTTATATCTTGGGCCTAAATTGGTCTACATTCAGTTACGTTTTACAAGATAAAATCCCACAAACGTATGTCGTGTGTTTTTCTTAATTGATTCATATATCCACATGCCAGTGTGTACATGTTAGTTTCCCTATATGTACGGGCATTCTGTAACACAGTACTAGGGTAGATAATGTCTTCTATATACATTGTTTTACTTTTTGCTGAAGGACAGGCAGGGATTTCCACATATCCTCTCTCCCATCGGGCAAAGGTGGCTAGTCCATCTCCTGGTGGAAGGTTTTCCATTTCTGCCAGCAAGTGCATGACTATGGGTGGGAAAACGACCCAATCTGAAAGGCAGTTGGCACTCTACCTGAGGAGGCTGGTTTGGGGAGGCGGCTTTGCAGGGGTCGCACCCCTCTGGCAGTCATGAGGGGGTCGGAGGCGGAGTGGACAATGGCGCTGTCTGCAGGGCGCTGGCCGTCTGCGGAGGAAGGCACTTCACGTTCAAGGGTTTGGGCTCTGATAGGAGAAGCTGCAGAAAGGGCTGGCTGCACGGGCAGGGGCGGCTCGGCGTCCTCCGGGAAGTCTGGCTGGCACAGGTACCGTCCCGCTGAGCGGTTTCCCGAGTCTGGGAGAGGGAAGGTTCCGATCCCGCTGTCCAGCGTTCTCATCTGGCAGTTTGATTCTGAGATAGAGTGGCAGAGAGGGTCAGAGAAGGCTCACACAACAGGATGAAAGAATCACGGGCATTTGGGCATGGTCTGAGGGAAAGGGGACACTCCTAGAAGGGAGAATTTAAGAAAAATGATAAACATTTAGAAATAGTATTAGTGGTGTAGTAGATTTCCAGTGAGGTGCAGGAAACAGACATTTAACTGAACACGAAAATTCCTCCTTCATGTAATATGAGGTAAGAGGGCCAGCTCATTACAGGTGGCAGTGGTCACATGTGCCTATATTCTGGATGGTTCTCTAGAGTTATAACAGAAAAGGAGCAGTCAATTAGAGACCAAAATTATTTTGATCACCCGTATTTCAATCTGGGAATCATGTGACTTCAATCAATTAGGTAAAATTCATTAACCGAAATAAGATGAGTAATGAGCACACACAACAAATTGAAGTGATGCCCTGAGAAAGGTAATTGTGTCTCTCTTGCATGAGTTATCACCCATCCTGCCGTTGACTAAATCTCTGGCCTCTCAATTTAACTATGGGACAAGTAATTCGCATGCTAGAAGGGTCATCCGAAAGGGTACCTTATCCATTGTAACATCACTTATTATGTGGGCTCATTTGACCCAACTGCCACCTGGAATCTTACTGAGAAGACTATGAGCCACTTCCCGTCTTTCACTCTCACTTCAGTAACCCTTCGGATTTCTTATCAGTCCAAGGATTCCACTATTTACCATGTATATGAGGTATTCTGTTAATCATGCCCCATCTTCAAAAAAAGTGATTTATAGACAAAAAAATAGGATATCTGCAAAAATGATCACATTTTAAATTTCTGAAATGGTGGTGTGGTTTATCCAAGCCAAAGAGACAGCTTTCAAGATCTAGTTGTCACCCAGAAAGTCTCCTGTTCATGTGATAATGTTGGAATGAAAGTTCCTTAGTTTCATCTTATAAGCATCTTGTAAGTCTGGCACTGGGTAAGAGGTACAACTTAGCGCTGTGCTAGGCATGCTGGGGAATATAATAGATCATGACATAATCTTTGTATCAAAAATTCAATGGCTACTTCAATGCCTTATGGAACAGAGACAAGTAGTATAGTCTCTGTAAATAACTTACTGTTTGAATCCCTGGGTAAGGGCTTTAACCTCTTGGGGTCTGGAGTTCCTTTCGGGGTTGCTGTGAGAATTAAAATATATTCACCATTGAATCCCTAGAATTTAGAATGACACTAAGCACACTGTGAGATGGCCAAACAAATGAAACAGTGAATGGCAATATAACAAAATGCTTAGGATTCTGGACATTTCCTTTAGTTCTAGATAAAAACAAAGGGTTGAAGGTGGGAACAGGGTTGGCTTTTCTAGGTCTGAGTAGGTTTGCTTTTGGTTTTGGAAGTATTAGGAAGATGAAGTCCCTATTAAATGAGAGGGTTCAGCCTCCACAGTAATATTTAGTAGGAAGATGCAGATACCCTTTTCTCCAACAGGATGGTGCCATCTGACCATCTCATTTACCACCAGATCCCAGAGTTTCGTCATGGGCTCCAGGACTCCTGAATTGTACATCATGTTCTGAGAGGTGCTTTTCTTTCCCAAGTTCACAACGGCTAAGCTTCAGCTCCATTTGTTTCAGGACTGCCACCTGGTTAACTTTACTCTCAACCAGCCTTACGGATTATTGATTATTTTCTCTATTCATTTTCTCCTCAATTAAGGGGATTTAATTGTTACAGAATAGCCTTTTGAGAAATGACTAGCTGTTTCCATGGGGAGGCATTGCTATAAGAGTTGGAAAGAAAAAAAAAAAAAGACCCTGCTATTCAAACTTCTGTGTCTTCATTAATGTTTGCCTACAGTGCTCTTTTGGAGTTCTCATGTCCATGTGTTCTAACTGGGGCACTTCTGAAATATTTCAGACTCACACAGGACTAAGTGGATCTTCATCAGAACCAACCAATCTGTGGGGATGGGCATCAAAGATTTATGGGATGTAGCGGCTGAGATGTGTTAGACCCTATGTGGCCCAGGCTGCCTGCCTAATAATTTGCTCCCAGCATCAGGACCTGAACCAACCAACCACCTACCCCTGAACCAAGGAGTGCACGTAGCAGGACACTAAGGGCACTTTGCCTTTCAAGAAGGTGGGTCACCAAAAGTCTGGCTGCTTATTTCAGCTACCAGGAGTTCACAGCTTTCCTTGTATCATCTCTTCATTTCCACAAACCTATAAGTTGAGAGCTATCAGTGCCATTTAGAAATGAGGAATCATAGGTAATTTGTCCAAGGCCATATTCTATAAAGAGCCTAGAGTTGAATCTAGACTTGCTTGACTACAAAGACCATGCTTCTAGCCATCAAGCTATACTGATTCCCACTCTCTGCACAGGTTAACCCCAATGCAGGATCTGCTCAGTTCATGGCCACAGAGGGAGCCATGTAAGCAGAAGACTGGCACCGCGGACCCCTGCTCCTAGGCTAGTTGCCCAGCTTCTCCTCTGTAATCGGTGGTGGCCTCAGAATTCTAGCTTGGTCCTGGGCTCCCCATTCTGAGGTTGGAGTCTACTGTCAACATGCTCTGCATCCACCCAGTTGTCTGTCCTTAAGTAGGGTGCCTATGCATCTTCATCTATTCAGTTCCTGAGAATCACAACTGCCTAGTAAATCTTCCCTCTGCTCTCCTGGATTTGATCCTTAGGCTTCTATGCCAGAGGTTTTCTAGAGTTTACTTTTGCCTCCCCAGCTTGGTGATAGCCACTATCTCCAAGGCAATGTTTTTCAGGCTTTGTGTCTCAATTCTAGGTATTTTCTGGTGAATAAAGCACTTAATCTAGTCCCTTTAAATGAAGATTCAAAAGGAAAAGTGAGATTCTTGGCTGCCTTTTCAGTGATTATTTGGAAACAGGCCCCATATACAAAGCCCACATATATAACACAAGGCCATGGGGCAGCTGCAGGAATAGGGCAGAACAGGGATTTGGGGTAGGAAAAATTGTGAAGGGGATCTAAGTCTGGTGTTCTTCTGAGGATACCAACATTTTCTAGCATCTATTCCCCTAATTTATTTCCCTTTCCCTTCAACATGTGATATTACTGTACCAGAATCTATAAAACAGGACATTTGAAATTCCTGAATTCTCTGATTCTCTGAGAATTGTGTGCCCTGACATTGAGCTCAGAAACCACCTGCTACTATGGCCATTTTTTTTTTTTTATTTCTAAAAATTCCAGATGCCAAATGTAGTGAATGTGAAGGACTCATTTGTAAGTAACTATGAAATGAGGTACGGATGGTCAGGGGCTCAGACATATGCCAAGTTTCACCCTCAAGCAAAATTTCTTCAGAATGCACAAACCTTTGGAAACTGGAGTTTATACTGAAAATGCTGACACCGTCTCTATGTAGTTTCTTTAAGGCACTATTAGTTTTTTGCAGTTCATAAAAATATTGTAACCCAAATTACAAGTGTTACTGTACTTCTGAAGCTAGTATTTTCTCAGAGGATTTTAAGAACTCACAAAATTATTAAATGGCTGTAGTAGGAACAAGTTCAAAGGGGCGAGCCTGCCTTGCATCTTCAATGAGCTGACTGAGTCTTGCTCTCAGTAAGTGTGAGTTCGCATTTGTGGCTGTGAGCACAGCTGCCAATCAGGGCTTTGCTAATGAGTTCAAGGTTGGGCCACTGGGTGTAACAGCAGGCGTCATCCTTCCAAGGTTACCAATTACATCTCCGACCCTGGTCAGCCCTTTCCCCTAGCCTGACTGTCCCATGTGCCTTCTCCGTCCCTCAAGGTAACTGCTCCCAGTATTACCACCATCACGCCCCAGATATTTCATGGGCTGACTCAGGGCACTGCTCCCCATTTTCTATGTGTGGCCAGATCCTGCCACACATAGAAAATACAATAAACATATGGCTCACAGAGGAAAACCCCAGCTCCAGGACCACTGGTCACCTGGGGGCCGAGCATATCCGTCACAGCACACCTGCGACCCATTCACAGCACATGAGCAGCAGAACGGTAGCGAATCTGTTACTGAATGGACTGAGGTCTACTGGCACCTCGAATACATTACCTTGCATGTGTTTGGTGTGCAAGGAGAAGGATACCTTCTCAGTCTCTCAGAAGCCAAGATAGGGCTTTCTACAAGGTCTATTCTTTTTGGGGAAGAATGTTCAGACTTCTGGGATTAGAACTGTTATCTGGCATCAGGCTTCAGGAAAGAGGGCAGTTATAGTATCTGACAGGGAAAGGAGCCGCCAAGACAGGTGAGGTTCTTTGTGGCATGGTGGCAGGAAAGAAATTTTGGAGAAATGTTTCCACTGGGGGTTTTCAAAGTGTTAACTTAGGGTGTGCAATATAAAATCCGCACTCATCCCGCCAACGGGTGCTGCCCTGCTGCTGCCCGCACCTGGCTGCCCCAGCAGCTGGCCTTAGTGTCTTTATCTGCAAATTAGATCACACCGTCTTCATTTCTCGGTGCTTTGAGGACAAGAAACAAAGCACATGACAAACTCAGCACAATGCCTGAAACAGGGACATCACTGTTATTATTCAGAAAACGGCAGCCGTTTCCATTTAAGTGTTAATTAGACTGTGAGCATCTTGGGGGCAGAACTGGAATTCACTCATCTCTGCAGTACTCACTGATGAGCCTGCTCCCAACTCTCGTTCTCCATCACCAGGTAGGTGCTGTGCTGAGCCTAACACATAGTCAGCCCTCCCTGATGTGTAGTGAGTGAACAGATGGATGAAAAACAACCAATCCTTACAAGATTCTTTCTTATAGTCAATGAATGTGAATCTCCTCTTGCAAACTCTTAATCTATTTCTTTTTGTTCTGACTCCAGCAACCAAAGCAAAAGCAAAGAGTAGACTGCCTTCTTCTCCGTGGCTGCTGTAGCTATTTTCCACATACAGCCAGACTTCATCAATTCAGATGGTCAGAAGGATAAGATCATTCAGAATAACTTAATATTTTAAAGACTGATTTCTTAGTACT